CTACACAGGGCAACAGCTTGAGACTCTGTCTCAGAAAAAGAAAAAAAAAGTGGACATCATTGTCATTTCCATTTCTAAGATGAGGAAACTGAGGGCCATGAATGGTGAAGTAATTGCCTTTGATCACATCACTGGAGAGGGTTATAACCAGGATTCACACCTAGGCTGTCTGACTCTAGAGCTGTCCTCTTAACCGTTGTGTGTATATCACTCTAAGTGTTAGGGGTTATACAGAAATGAATAATACAAACCTCTCAATTCTTAAGGAGCTCACTGTCTTATGGTACAAACTGATTTAAAAAATCAGACAGCTTGAACATAGTATCACGAGTGTCATAATAAAGGAATGAATGCTGAGAATTATAGCAGCCTGAAGGAGGACTTGATTCTTTTGTTACGGCAGAATTTTAGCCTGGGACCATGGAAGAGACCATGTAAACCTTTGATAACAGGATATGCCTTTATTTTTGTATCCCCAGTACCTAGCAGAGGACCTGGCATATATCAGGTGATCAGTAGATGAGAAAGAAGTCATCTGTTTTGCACAGGCCAGTATGATAGCTGTGAGGCACATGTAGCTGTCAATCACTTGACACGTGACTAGTCAGAATTGAGATGCGTTCTAAGTATTTAATACCAGATCTTGGAGACTTTTTTTTTTAAGTAAAAGATTTCAATTTTTATATTGGTAATGTTTTGAAATGATAATATTTCTGGGCTGTATTAGGTTAAATGAAGTGTATCATTAAAATTAGTTTACCTGTTGGCCGAGCAAGGTGACTCATGTCTGTAATCCTAGCACTCTGGGTGGCTGAGATGGGTGGATTAGCTTGAACTCAGGAGTTTGAGAACAGCCTGGGCAATTGTGAGACCCAGTCTCTACTAAAAATAGAAAAATCAGCCTGTTTTCCAAGCTACTAGGGAGGCTGAGGCAAGAAGGATCGCTTAACCCCAGGAGTTTGAGGTTGCTGTGAGCTGTGATGCCATGGCACTCTACCCAGAGCAACAGAGTGAGACTCTATCTCAAAAAAAAGGAAAATTAGTTTACTTGTTTTTTTTTTTTTAAATGAGTATTAGAAAACACAACATTACATATGTGTCTCGCACTCAGCTCCCTCAGAGAGTGAAGTGACTTGACCAAGGTCACAAAGCAGTAAAGTTACTTTTAAAATTGAGAATTTATGTGCTGGATTCCTTGATTCTAGTTTATTTCTCTTTCTGGGCATAAGTTAAATCAGTACAATGTAAATATATACATTATTAGATTAAATAGCATCATATTAGTTTTTTAATTTATTTTAATGGATTTAAGCTTAAGATTGCCATGCAACATCGTAATTTAAATTTTAAATTTGTAGTAAACACAAATCCATTCTGTTTTCATTTCACATTATACAATATAATGGATGACAACAAAAAATGAGGGCAATTTTTTGGATTCAGCTAATCAGTATCCCTGGTAATGGGCATACCAAGATTATACTACACTAAATATAAGCTCTTTTAATGATCTAAATCCTATCTTTGCTATTAGGAGAATATTAGATTATCTTCCCTTTATATCTATTACAAGCAACTTAGAAGGAAAGAAAGCTTGACGTGGATTCAGCTTCTTGTTTGTGGTCTTCCCAGGTCTGTTGACATTTAAGCTTTAGCTTTCTCTTTGGTGAACTGGGGATTCTAATCAGTACCTTGCCTGTTATAGAGTAGCAGTAGCTGAAGTGAAAATGAAGTATTGGATATGATATGTTTTTTGTTATTGTATCTCTCATGATAGACTAGGTTTTGTGGTAGTAACAAAAAGAAACACAAAGCTATTCATCTCA